CTAACCACAACCACATACTGAAAGCTTAGGTTAAGAAACTTTATTGCATTTGCTGCCAATTTCCCGACGAATTTTCGAAATTGAGACCACTCCTAATGCTTTCACGGTTCCCGATGCATTACAAGCACTAAAGAAACTTAGAATTTTCTAAGATTTTTAAAAGACTCATTTTTTCGGGTTCATTTATATCTAAGACGTGTTGTAAGTCCCCTACCCGAAATCTATGTGTTATCATAATTGTATGACTTAGGAGTAAATTCGTGAGCATTTGCTATTGTCACATCTTCCCTTTTTAATCGTATTCGCTAGATATGAGCAAGAGAAATATAGAGAAATAATATCTAGTTGTCAGTTGTGTTGTATTAACAGATTGGTTTGATCCATTCGAAATGCGCGTTTATCCGACTGAATAGATCGTTCTGATGGTAATCTCAGTGGCAAGATTACCCATTCATATCCCCCTACACTCACCCCGTCATATAGACACGCACAAGGTATACGTTGATGAACGATATGCCTTGTTTGCCCAGTCTTTGCAGTCGTATTTTCTCGTAAATTGCTCCTAAATCGGTTGGCCCAATTTAATTATAATTTAGCTTAATCATATTTTCTTTATGAATCACGCTCTAGAATTGTAACTAGCCCATGCCTTCTAAATTGTTACATTTTTTAACTGCACCAGGCCTATCCCCATCCCCAGGGGAGGTGATGACTAATTTGGACTTTCAATCTGACACCATGTCTCAAGCCCTTCCGCCGACTTCGCCCCTGACACTACTCATGTAGTGAACTCTACATGCCCTATTCACAAGGCCATATCCGACTGATTTACCTATGGACATGGAAACTCGTATAGTGCATCTCGGCTGGCCAATGAGGCATTCGATGCAAATGATGTGCATTCCAATATATTGAGGGTTTTTTATCCGGCCTCAGCCCCTATTGCATTGTTATCAGCCCTAACGCTTCTCTAATGAGCTTGTATTCATATGACATGACATGGCAATATTAAGCATTTTAGCTTGCCCCTTGCTGGATAAATAGCCATAGCTTCCCGATAATAGCAGTTACACATCACATTATAGTGCTAACACAATTTTACTGCATCGGCAGTTTCTCTCACCTTTCTATACTGGAAGTCAAAATGACTCCTCTTTCAACCCCCTATATAGCTTCGAATAACCAATGTGAGTATTGTTTATTTCGCTCCCAAGTGCTGGTGTGCGTTTTAGTGTCCAAGATTGCGCAACTGTTCTTAAATCGGCGACAGGCCCCAGAGTGTCGAGGCCATGGCTACTTCGTCTGTCCCCTGTATGTTGCTACAAGCTTAGGATTTAGCCACATCGGACTTTGCAGGTGAGCCAATCGCGATTGGATTTTCCCTATTGATCTGGTAATTTCTCCGCCAATTCCTTCAGGTCTTTTGTCAAGGCAACCTTGATGAATTTACCGACCCTAGTCACACGTGAATCACCGTCTCGACATAACCTGATAAGGGGTCTAGTGCACACAAATCAATCCGTACGGCGTGATTCGGTGATACCTTTACTCAACCTCCTGAGCAAAGTCGTTCATTTCGTCTGCGAGATAGGTAAGCCTCTACTTTTTAGCCAGTGCATTTACTACTCCCCAGTCCCAGTGAGTAAGATCCAACAGTTGACCCAGTAAAAATGGTATTCCTGATTTATAGCCGTCCTGCCGCTTTGGCACTCCTTCTTAGCCCCATTATATTCTTAACTCTCTCATTCACTTATTAGCACAGTCTTCTGAATTCTCCACGGCCGAAGCGTTTGTCTGCTCGTCCCCCACCCGGCGGTTACACTCGCTTACTTGCCTCTCTTGGGTTTGAAGCATCCGAGTCTGGCGACGAGTTTGGTAACGATCGGGCCGGCATTCCTAACCAGACGGTGACTCTGGCAGCTCCGTCTAACCGCAGACGCCGCCTACCTAACTCACGGCACGCGCCGCTTCACTGCTTCTCGGACGTCCAGCATACTCAACTGTCTGCCGAACGGCCAATTAAGAGACCCCGGAAAGAGCCCTTATCTCGTCTTGTCTGTAGAGACGAGGAAGGTTGCGGAGAAGTAAATATACGTGTACAATATCTCTTGTGTTCTTCACCACAACGTTTAGATTCATTCATGCGATCCACCCATTTGATAGCCTTACTCTATATCCTTGTGGAGACTAATTGCCCTTCTCATGCTTTATAATGAAAATTTTGGATGTCGTTATCCTTTCCTAGCTAGCGACAAAGAGAATCTCTTATAACATTTTAACAAGAGTTCGGCCGTGCACTTTCAAAAGCTGTCCATGCCTACAATTTTTCACAGATATCTCATTGGATTCTCCAGTCTCCCATGTCATTCATCTGAATTGTTAATTTGCTTAAGAGGCTGTGGAAAGTTCATTTTGTTTACGTGGCTTTCACTTTCGTCGGTTTGTCTGTAAGTTACATTCAGGCCCATTTAAAATCAGTTCCGGTCCCCGCGAATGAATCAGTTACTTTGTTTTATTTTGCAGTATTTCATTATTAAGCCAGCGTTCTAGCGAAATTTTTTTCCATATAAAGGCTGCTTCATTTATGGATTGGTTTAGGCGACGCTTATTAATTGAATCTTCGGACATTTTCCCCAAATCTCTTCAATTCTTCACGGAAACTCACTGGTCGTGAGTTCCTTCCAATACGTTTTTCTAGTTTGTCTGCCAGCAGTATACATACATGAGGACAGAGATTTAGTGTTTAATTTTAGGACTTTTTATTATAGACATGTCTTTTTAGCTCTTTCTGCAAAATCATCGCATTTTTGAATACATTATATTTGCTTTTATCTACCAGAAAGAGATGGAAGAGGAGGAGGCCGAGACATCTGCGAAACGACGACTTGTTCATGCTCTGGGCTCAGGTATACCAAGTTCACTGTCACTTCAACCTTCTGACATGACACCTGCTCAAAGCGTCCGCGAGTTAGCCCGATGCCGCAAGCCCAGTTGGAAGCTTTCTCAGACTATTGCGCCTAGCCCAACTCGCATTCGTCGGCCTCGTGGCCGTCACTGCCTCAATGGTGCTGCTGGCAATGAAGGTGATGGTAACAGTTACAGCGCTCTTGTAGCTTCTTCGAGTCGCTACAGTTCCGAGTCCACTCCATTTGTTCAGTCTGCGGAGCTTGCTAACTCGATTAGAACCTCGTCCATTAAGCAAACAGGTGGAACGCGTCAGACGACAAGACCTGCTTTGGGTTGTTTAGATAGGTTGGCCGATCCCTTCTTGTCACAAGCAGAGAAAGATGTAAGATTTGATTATCCCTCTACATGATTAATCACACTGATAAATACATGCTATTATCCTACTAACTACTTCTCATTCCGGAATTATTTAGCTACAAGGTCATTGCTCTATTTAAAGAATTCTCAGTCATTGTACTAATTCAGACATTCATCCCCCATTGTTAGAGCTGTAACCACCCTATTTTGTTTAAGATGATGAATAACTGGTAGTTTTATTTTACCACAATCATAAGTAGGCATTACGTTCCCATTGAATTTTACATAGCCTTGCTTCCCAAAAGGCATCCTCATTCAGGGTTGGCTACAGTTTCAACCTCGCTTAGGTCTCATCATCACTCACAACGTAGCTATAAACCTGCTAGTGCAGCGTAAAACCTCTGCAACACGCTTTATTGTCATGAGTGCCCTTGGGTCATGGGGTAGACGTGAATTTCAGAGAAGCCACATCATAATTGTGCGGTTAAATTGTCGACGAAGCAAAGATATATTTGCCATAACAATCTACTGTATTATCTCTTTTTCATTTCACAAGTAGACTTTCGAGACTACCATAATCTTAAGCGAAATAGCGTGAATACAGCTCTTATATCAGATTTAATGGTAGTCCCAAAAATCTACTTATGAAACAAAAGATAAGTAATATAATCAATTACTATAGCATATACAGCTGCTTCGTCGACACTTTTATCACTCAAATGTGATATGGAAAAGGTCCAACCTTCTATGGAGTTCATTTCCTTCCTGTGACCGAAGGGCACTCGTGACTGTGGCGTAGGGCTTAACGTTTCGAGCTTATGCTTTGTATTACCAGGGTTCGTGTTCCGCTGGAGGTGATGAGATCTTGGCGAGTTGGAAGCTGTCAACTGCCTGGGTAAGGATACCTGTTTTATGAAATTAAATGGAAACATAAGGCCTACTCATATGTTTTTGGGAAAATTCCGCTACCAGCCCTTCATAACTTTGAGCGACCTAGGGTGACTGGAACTCTTGCTTTTACTTTGCATACAATCTGTTTACACATTCCATTTTCATATACGCAATTAGTGTCTATGGGTCAATCACTACATCCTGAATACCAGTTTTATCACCGCATAAGAGGATGTAAGGCTTGAATTTTTTCGCTATGAAGTGCTTTAACCTCATGATTACATTGCTTTACTTAGCTTCTCTCTTCATAAGAGCCGAATTGCAGTTTTGACCTCTCTTGAGTCTTCATTAGCACCTTAATGAGCAAGTGGGTTGCCCACATAAATTAGTAATGCGTAACCCTACTTCTTAATCATAGATGCCATTGTGTCATCCCGGATCCTTTTATGAGTTCTGAATAGGCCTAATCAAGGTCGAAATTACAGTTCATTATAAGTGAAAAAATGCCTTTTGGGAGGCCGGTTACGTGAAATTCAATGGAATCCTGAGGTCTATTCCTTTTATTATGCGGTAATTTGACTTTTCGTCTTTTTGCTACCTAAGTCATGATTCGCATTGATTTAAAAATATATACTTCTCAACCCAGTTTTTCTACATATTTAAATGTTTCATATTAGTGCTTTATTTTTTGCTTGGGCCTATTTTATATTTTTACACTGACGTACTATTTATTGTTGCACATTTAAGGCCATTTAAACACTATGCCATGGCGTTTTTTTCTGTATTATAGCAAAGCGCCAAGTGCCTTCAAAATTAATGCTATTATATAAACATCTGGCATTGTAGCAACCTGGTCGAGTAGGTTAATCCAAAGTTCTTTAAATGTAGTTATCGCCAAAGAGAAGATTGACGCTTCTAACCAATACTCCAACGCTCCATTTATGTAATCATATCACTTATTTTCTTCGGTGTGGCCAACATTTTAGCGTAAGGTTCTTAATAAAGTTAGCAACATTTCCATTTTGTTCTGGGCAGTTGTTTTCGCTCACCCTGTTTATCATGACTGTATTCTAAGGTCAGCAGTGATGCACAGCTATTCTATTTTTTAATTTATCTTAATCATAACAGCTTTTTATCTTGATATTTGATTAGAATGGTTGGACTAGGCTCGGCTATCAAAAATGGAATCATTCCTATGTTCATCTCTTATGCTGAAATGTACTTATTATCAATGCCAATATAGGGAATTAAATTGTCTTTTTTTGTAGTCTGACCTCGTTTTCGCGACTTGGTCGTGCTGTCGGATGGACTTAGACGCACCCTGCCCGAAGTTCTCTGCTATAGTAGTTATCATAAATCCCAGTGTTAAATCTTGTACTTTGTACATTCCCAGACGTTTAGCCGGCATCGTCTGTAAGTCTTGCTATTCTCAGCACCAGGCTACAATTCGTTAAGGAGAAAAGTGAAGTCACTCTCTCGACCAACTTTTTGCGGATAAGGTTGTGCTATCACTCCTCTTTCTGTCCTCGTTAATCTATCCATTCCATATCCTATTGTCTCACTACCGCCACATCACAACTTCCTGATCAGAAGAATTTTTTAAACGGTTTTATTCTGCTTGACATCGCAGTAGTCTTTATTAGGAGTTTGAGCTTCAGGATTATTTCTTGAGACAGTGAATTTAATTTAATCCTGTAGTTATTCATCAAGATTCAGGACAACCAAGACCTTATAGAGTATTCTGGAAAGCTGCCTTTCAATTACTATTCTGTCCCAGTATTTGTCGTCAAGTTTATGCAATAGTAGCTTCTCACTTTCGCATTGTAAACAATTTAAATTTAGACTAGTCGAGTATGAGTAATATGAAACGATGAATAAACCCTTGTATTGACCATTCTTTCATATTTTTGTGTATTCAAAAGAAATTATGTACAAATA